CGCACGAGATGGTTGCGCGGCGTCGCTTCCCTACGAGATGATCATGGAGGTGCTGCAGTGGCTCCCCATCAAATCTGTCTTCCGCTTCCGGGCAGTTTGCCGCAGCCCAGCTGCGCTGCTATCTTCCGACGAATTCCGCCGCCTCCACATGGCAGCAGCTAAGGCTGCGCGGCGGCCGGCGCCACCAGCCAAGCTGATATACATCTCGCCTACCGCCACATTCGACTCCACCGCAGTCTACTCGTGTTCCTTCTCGCGGTCATCATCATCAGGCCGCCCCAGAGATCGCGGGGACTTACTGTTCACCATCGACGGTGCCCGTGGCAACTGTGTGGAAGTAGTGACGCCCGCACCGTGCCATGGCCTCACGCTTCTCTATGATGCTCTCGACACGGCCTACTACATCTGCAACGCGGCCACACGGGCTGCCACGCGTCTGCCGCCTTCCGCTATACGAGGATCCAAGTCCACCGCTGGGCTGGGGTTTGATGCCCACACAGACGAGCACAAGGTGGTCAGGTTGATCAATGGGTTGGTTCATGAGAGAGACTTGAAGTTGGTGAGGTGCGAGGTGTACACGACTGGAGGCCGTTTTGGGGATTGTTGGAGGCCTGCTGCCAGAGGAGTACCCCCCCCAACCTGCGTGGATTTGCACACGCCGCTGTTAGTAATGCGTCTACCAACAAATTATCTCCTGTGTTTGCCAACGGTTGCCTACACTGGTTGATGAACCCTTCCTATCTCATCACGACTCCAAGTGTTGCCATCATGTCCTTTTCGGTTGCAGAGGAGACCTTCACATGTATCCGGTCACCACCCTTCTGGGTACCAGGAGCGCCGCCGGCCTCCTGGTTGGCCTCATCAGGAGAGCAACTAATGGAGATGGATGAGCAACTATGTTTGGTTCGCAACAGAATCCCTCATGGTAGTAACACTTTGGAGATCTGGAAACTGCTGGACTATAGCTCTGGTGACTGGTTACTGAATCATCGAATTAATTTGTCGGGGCACCTGGCAAGAGATTTGCGTCAGTCACAAATTCTGAGAGTTATTGGATCTTTTCGTAGTTACAGGTCGACAAGGAAGAAGATAATCATCACTACTAGCATGCACAAGATTTTCAACAAGTATCAGAAAATGGTTCACACCTATGACCCTAGGTCTGAGGCTCTGGAAACCATTCTTTCAATCACAGAGACACACTCAATTCCACAATATGCTTGTCCTAGTTCAAGATTCGGTTTCATTCAAGAAACCCTTGCTCCCGTGCATAGAACAGATGAAGCCTTGTCATCTGACCTGGCAAAGGTGACTAGAGAGATCCTACTCCGCCTCCCAGCTAAATCAGCCATACTGTCCAAATTTGTCTGCAAGCAGTGGTTCAGATTGATTGAGAGTGAAAACTTCATTCGGTCATACTTTCAGCATAAGAACATGGACAAAAGACCTAAGGTCATGCTTGTGGTCAAGAGCACTGGACAGTTGGGCTTCAGTTTCACTCCATTGAATAAATGCCTACAAGAAGCTCCTAGTCACAGTACATTGCTTGATACGAAGGTGGTTTGCTCTAAGCCTTGCCATGGGCTGAACTTGGTAAGCACCGAGACGAAGGACTATCTCTGCAATCCATGTACAGGTTTCCACAGGGTTTACTGTAACCTGGGGCCAAATTTGCACCTTCCCTCGAGAATGCATAAAGCAGAAGAGCATGCTTTTACAGTCGGCAATAAAAATGTTGGCTTGACTTTCAGCCCTTCGACTCGTCAACATGTTATCGTGGAAATCTTCTATCACCGGAAGGACTTCAAATCTCGTCAGTATGACATGACATGCGCGTTATACTGGTGTAACTCTTGGAGTGCTGCCCAACAGATCTCGGTACCTCCTCTGCCTGTGAATGATATGCCACCGGCCTATGTTGAAGGAGTGCTGTACTGGATGAGTGAACCAAGGTTGGGACAGTGCTGTGAATGGACCATTGTCTCTTTCAATCTTGCTAAAAGAACGTTTGATGTTGTCCCCTGTCCTTCGTGGTTTGCAAGATGGAATAGCAGAAACCGCTGTCGTGCATTTGTTGTTGAGCTCGAGGGAGTATTATGCGCTGTCCTAGCAGATCCAGTGGCAGACAAATTAGATGTATGGAAGCTAGAGCATGGCCAATGGGGCAGAGCATACACAATTAACCTGGAAGCATGTCCTGGCTATTCCCTCAAGACAAGTGTTGTGATGCCATTAGCTGTTGATCCTGATCATGGGAGGATCCTGCTCAACACTGGGAGAAAGATAGGTCTATATGATCCAGTAGAGCAAACAATTCTAAATCTGCATTCACTTGATCAGGTACAGGTTGCCAGTAGTCCACACCTTGAGATGCCTTCAACGTTATCACGGAATAGTTTGACATGCTCCAAAGAAGAGTCGGCGGCGGAAATGAATAGAATGGACTCTGAAATTATTCCTTTTGTTCCTATGTTATACGAGGAGAGCTTGGCATGTTACTCTTCTGTGCGCAAAGCAAAAATGCTGTGGTGAGACATTTTCAAGGCACCTACTCTACCTTTTTACTAGACCATAAAGGCGTGGCCATCTTAAGAAAATTTAACCTAAAGAATTATAGAAATATTCTGGAAAATTTTGAAATTTTTACTATTTTGAAACACCACAAATTTGGTTATATCTCCAGCCAGGATATTTATATCTTCCAAACACCAAACATCTAATTTAAGATAATAGAGCGCCGGTACATCAAGAATATGCCATGGCACACAACAGAGTTGGTTACACATGCAAAAGCTGGCCAAAATGAAGTTATACAACAGTACTTGTGTAATTAAGTACACGAACTGATCTCAAGTAACCAATGCATTATGTAATTGTCCATATAATACATGTCTTGTGCATGTGCGAAGAAATGCTCATAACCCAATTTTGCTCTGTCCACAAAGAACTCAACCTCCAATCCATCAGTGTACTGAAGCAATCCATCCAAAGTCTGAAATCTTCCAAAGTAGTGCAATCTGACAGCGAAATCATCCTTGGGATCATCAACACTGGCTGCAGCTTCACAAATAAATAAACTTTGATCAGTACTAAACCGATGGACAACAAAAGTCCCCTCTTTTGTCCAACCTAAACTGCAGCATCAAAGAAAGTCTCATATTTTTCATCTGCTATACACCCCCTGTTCCTGTTCAACAAAAGACCCTCTACACCCTGTTGAAGTTCAACTATGACTCAAATCTGCCCAAAACCCTCAACAGAACTCCATCCTTTTTTTCCAATACAATCTGCACCATAGAAAAAGAATCCCCTGTTTTTTATCTGCTCTGCTATCCTGTTCCTGAACTATTGTGTTTTTTTGCAGGCTGGCATGTATGTCAGCCGCCGGCATGGACTATGGCCGCTGACATGAACTCTGGCCGCTGTCCTTTTTTTAGATTAAATTTGCTTTGGACGTGGATGAAAAATGCGTTTGTCAGTTGGGTGCACCGGTGAAGGCGGACAAACACGCTTACAACCGACTTAAACGGATGAAAAGCGAACAAAACTCACGTCCGTTTGTGTCGCAGCATTGGAGTTGCTCTTGCTTCTAAATAGATGTAGACATTTGTAGCTCTCCCTATCATTGCGTTATTGTACTACCATGGTCACATGCATGTACATTAGCAGTCTGTCTAGCTCTAGCCATACAGAAGTTTCGGAGCTCTGGTCAGAGTGTTCATAAAACCCGCGAATCCCTGAACTTTTGGCCATACGATTGAGAGATCCAACAACATGTGTGGTGCCATGACTTTTTCAATTTTGAAATAATCAATGAGAGCCGTCGGATGGTGGGAATCCAATGGTTTATATGATGTGTTACTCGTACACTATATCGTGGTATGGAAATCTGCCCAAAACCCTCAACATTAGCTGCCCAAACCAAACTAATATCCAATAGAGACCATCCTCAACATTAGCTTCCCAAATCCTCAAAAATCCACCTTTCAGCCGCCCACCACATCAGGAGCAGACAAATGAGAGCAGGAAAGAGGAGAAGGTCGTACCCACATCCATGACGATGGGAGAGAAGGGCGATGACGGGGAGGGCAATGGTGTCCGCGAAGGAGGCGAGGGGGAGGACAAAGATGAAGAGGAGAAGGAAAGAGACGATTGCAAAGGAAAGGAGGAGCAAAACACCATGCCAAAGCACCAAGAGTCACCTTCGTCCTACGCATGGAACTGCAGCAACAGATCCATGGCAGTACCCCGCCGCAGTTGCACGTCCAGCGCCGGCTCGGTGGTGGCCTCCGGTCCCACGCCAGCCCCACTCGAACGGGCCCGAGGATCTGTGAGGAGTAAGATATATGGATCGATCTAAGGTAGCTCTCTGAAGTAGTAGCTTATACAGATCTCGGTACACGAATTTGGGAGTTCTTGCAAGAAAGGAAACTAGGTAGCTAAGGAACTAGGGTTGCCGCCGCCGGTTCAGCCTTGATCCTCTGGATGGAGAGTGCTTCGTCTGGGAAGGGTTTTGTAGGGGCGCTCGGGCTTCAGTTGGCCCATTCTGGCCCAACGTTGCGCGGGTTGGGCCTCCTGACCCGTTGGTGACGCGTAGTGGCGATGGAGCCACTGCCTGGTGGAGCCGGTCCGCCTGGGCTGCTAACATCCCCCTCTCCTTGAGACACGGCTTGCCCCCAAGCCGTCGAGTGCGGGAAGCGATCCTCTAGGGCGGCCTTGTCTTCCCAAGTATCGCCCATGCTTGTCAGGTTAGACCAGCGAACCAGGACCTGTTCGATCATTGAGTCGCGCCTCTTTTGCCATCTGGTTCGAAGGATCTTGACAGGAGTAGCCAAATCGTCAGTATTGATTGGAAGTTCAGAGTTTACTTGAGTACCTGGGAGGAGCGCCTTGCGCAGCTGAGACACATGGAATACAGGATGCACCGCAGCTGTTGGAGGGGGTTGCAGTTCGTATGCTACGTCGTTGATCTTGCGAATAATGGGAAAGGGCCCAAAAAACTTGAAGGACAGCTTATGGTTGGCCCTCGGAGCAACTGATGTTTGAATGTACGGTTGCAATTTCAGGAATACCTGATCGCCCACTTTGAATTGACGAAACGAGCGCTTCTTATCAGCTTGAGCCTTCATGCACTGTCTAGCTCGGTGAAGGTGTTGCTGAATGAGGTTCTGAGTGACCTGTCTTTCTTCCATCCAGGTTTGTAGGGAAGGAACAGAGGCCTTGGAGTTCGCTGTGATGCCCCAGTGGCGTGGCTCGTGCCCATAAAGTGCCTTGAAAGGAGACATGCCAATTGCAGAATGAGGAGAAGAATTGTACCAAAACTGGGCCAATGGAATCCAGAAGCTCCAGCGCCGTGGACATGCATGTGTAAAACAGCGGAGGAATGTTTCAATGCATTGATTGACCCTCTCGGTTTGGCCGTCCGTTTGCGGGTGGTTGGCCGTGCTCAGGCGCAGCTCCGTGCCAGCGTACTGAAAAAGCTCCTTCCAGAAGTGGCTTGTGAAGACAGGGTCCCGGTCTGACACTATTGCTCCTGGGAGTCCATGCAGCTTGTATATCTGGGACATGTACAACTGGGCCACCTTCGCTGCTGTGTACGGGTGCGCGAGTGGCAGAAAGTGAGAAAATCTGGTGCGTTTGTCGACCAAGACGAGCAAGCAGTTGAACTGGCTGGACTGAGGCAATCCATCAATGAAATCCATCGAGATGATGTCCCATGGCTGTTTGGGGATAGGTAGAGGTTACAACAGACCTGGGGAAGCAGTTCGGTCTGGTTTTACTTGTTGGCAAACCTGGCAACATTGCACGTAATGTTTGATGTGCACTTTCATCTTTGGCCATGCAAACAGACGGTGGATGCGTTTGTAAGTCACTGGAAATCCCGAGTGGCCACCCAAAGGACTGTCGTGAAAGGCTGTCATTATTTTCTGCTGCAGCTCGGTGGATCCTCCCAGCCAGATACGGTCACGAAAACGCAGCAAGCCTTGGTGCAGACTGAACCTTTTCTTGGGATCTTCTCGGATGGCAAGCTGTTCCAGCAGCTTCTGCGCGTGCTGGTTGGAGTTATAGCTGGCCAACACATCTTCGAACCATGCCGGCCTGCACGAGGTGATAGCGTACATGGTTTCCTCTGGATTTGATCTGGAGAGCGCATCAACGGCTGAGTTATCCACACCCTTGCGGTACTTAATGCAGTAACGGAGGCCAAGAAGCTTGGTGAAGGCTTTTTGCTGCCATGGGGTCGACAAGCGTTGCGTTTCCAAGTGCACCAGGCTGCGCTGATCGGTTATGATGTCAAATTCCGCATGCTGCAAATACGGGCGCCATTGATCCACTGCCACGATCACTGCAAGATATTCCTTCTCATAGGTGGATAAACCTTGATACCGCGGACTAAGGGCTTTGCTCATGAAAGCTATTGGGTGGCCCCCTTGTTGGAGAACTGCCCCCACTCCATTGTCGATGGCGTCAGTTTCGACCGTGAACTTCTTGGAGAAATCCGGAAGCGCCAGAACCGGCGCTGAGATCAGATAGGACTTGAGGGCTTGAAAGGCAGACTCTGTGACAGACGACCAGACAAAAGGAGCACCTTTCTTGAGGAGATTGAACAATGGTCGCGCAATGATACCAAAGTTGCGAACAAAGCGTCGATAGTAGCCTGCAAGCCCGAGGAAACGCCTGACTTCTTTGACATATGTGGGTGTTGTCCAGCTGGCTACTGCTGCTATCTTGGAAGGCTCTGTCGACACACCCTGGGCGCTGATGACGTGTCCAAGGTACGAGAGCTGCTGTTGTCCAAATTCGCACTTGGATAGTTTGACCTTCCATTGGTCCTTGCGGAGCAGCTCAAGAACTTGACGCCGGTGTTCTCGGTGTTCACGCAGAGTTTTGCTGAACACTAAGATGTCATCGAAGAACGACAATGTACACTTCCTGTTCATGGGCTACAATGTGGTTGTTATTGCACCGTTGAAAGTGGCTGGACCCCCCGCGAGACCGAACGAAACCACCTTGAACTCATAGTGCCATGAATGAGTTTGGAACACTGTTTTGTACTCTTCCCCTTCCGCAAGCCGGATATGATGATAGCCGGCACGTAAGTCAAGCTTGGAGAACCAGCAAGCACCGTGTAATTCGTCCAGAAGTTCCTCGATCACAGGTACTGGGTACTTGGCAATACATGTGAGGGCGCTGAGCTGCCGGTAGTCGACACACAGTCGCCATGTGCCATCTTTCTTCTTAACAAGGATGACCGGTGATGAAAAGGGGCTGGTACTGAGCTGTATAACTCCAGACCTGAGCAATTCTGCAACCTGTCTTTCGATCTCATCCTTGTGTTCTGGCTTGTGGCGATAAGGTTTGCTAGAGAAGGGTTGGGCGCCCGGCACCAATGGAATGTGATGATCACAACTGCGGCGTGGTGGTAAACCTTCCGGTTGCTCGAAGACGTCTGCAAACTCTGCCAACACTTCCTGCAGACAAGTTGGTGTGGTCGTGGCTGTTTGTGTGTCGTCAGAGATGGCAAACAAGCACACCACATGTGTGACAACATTGTTTCTGCATAAACTTTGCAACTATAAGGCGTTGATGAGAAGGCAGGTGGTAGACTCAGCTTCATGCCCATGGAGAGAAACAGATGTGCCGTGCTGGAAGAACTGCAAGTGCTTGGCGCGCCAGTCCACGGTCATGGGGCTGTGTGCCTCCAGCCAGTCCATGCCAAGTATAGCGTCGTAGGCGCCCAGTGCCAGCACCTTCAGGTCGGTGTTGAAATTATGGCCTTGAGAGCACCACAGGCAGTTGGGAACGACAGCTGAACAGATCAGTTCCCCACCATCCGCTACCCGCACGCGATATGCGCGAGGGAGAGGTTGAGCGCCCTGTATGGCTTCCGCGAGGGACTGGTTGATGAAGGAATTGGTACTGCCGGAGTCCACCAACATGAGCACTTCGCGCCCTTGCACCCAGGCGCGGAGCTGAAACGCCTTGGCCGACACACCACCGGAGACGGCCCGGTGCGATATCGCCATCACCGTGTCGTCAGGTTGGGGCAGCTGCGTGTCGATGGTGTTGTCGAGGCCGAAGAGGTCGAGAAGTTCCTCGACGACGTGTAGCTGCACCGATGTGGGGCACACATGATCTTGTCCCCACCTCTCTCCGCATTTGAAGCAGAGACCCCGTGTTTGTCGGTACTCACGGAGCGTCTTGAGCTTGGCGGAGTCCGCGCGCGCTGCGTCCGTCCCACGGCGATCGGTGGCCACCGTAGGTGTCGAGTGGCGCATCGGGGGCGGTGGTAGTGCAGTGGCACGGCTGCTCGAGGGGCCGTGTCCAGAGGTTTGGGCAGATAACTGCACGCGCCTTCGGCCACTTCTTCTTGGAGCATAGCGAGAGCGCACGCCGTGTCCAAATC